GAGTCAGTGTTCCCACTCCAAAGGCTTAGGGTTTAATCTCTGGTCAGGAACGAAGATTTCACAAGTGGTTTGTTATGGCATTAAGTGAGATTAAAACAAATACTCAAAAACGAGAAACCAAAGAGAAATCCCAGACAAATGGCAGTTACAAAATCAGGCAAATAATAATAAAAACAATGGAATATACACAAAAACGTATACACCCATAAGCAAAGTCAAAGCAGTTCAATAAAAATAAAGTACAGTAGATTGACCCAGCAAACAAAGGAAATAAAAAATTATATTTACCAGTTAAGAACAAAACTAACTAAAGCACAAACTGGAAAGCAAAACTAAAGCAAGGTGCCAAGTGGGGAATAAAGCAATGAAAGCAAAATTAACAAATATGTTGAGAGGAAAGGAATGAAAAAAAAAAAATGAAAGAATAGATATGCAAATTTAAATAGATGTAGATGGAGAAGATTTATATAAATTAAAGATTAACTGCAAGGGGAAGAGAACAATAGGAAAGGCAAAGGAATATATATAAAAAATATACTTTTTAAAAAATTAAAAATTACAATTATAAAAAAGAGAAAAGGAAGAAAAGAGAATGGAAAAGAGAAAATAGAGGGAAAAAAAGGAAACTCCTCAGAACTGCAAAAGCCCCACGTAGAGGCAGAGGTTTATAACAACAATAAAATATATGACACATATACAATATACACATATACATATATACCCATAAGCAAAATCAAAACAGTCCAGCAAAAAAAATAAAGTATAATAGATTGACCTGGCAAACTAAGGAAACCAAAATTATATCTACCAGAACAAAACTAACTAAAGCACAAACTAGAAAACAAATCTAAAGCAAGGTGCCAACTGTGAAATAAAGCAATGAAAATAAAACTAACAAATATGTTGAGAGGAAAGGAGAGAAAGAAAAGAATGAAAGAATAGATATGCAAAGTTAGAGGTAGATAAGGAAGATTTATATTTGTTAAAGATTAACTGCAAGGGGGAAAGAACAGTAGGAAAAGCCAACAAAAGAATAAATGTAGAGAAAATAATAAGTTTAAAAAACTAAAAATTAAAATTAAAAAAAGGAACAGAAAAATGAAAAAGGAAAACTCCACAGATCTGCAAAAGCCTAGTGTTAGGCAGAGGTTTCTATCAACAATAAAAAATGTGACTGAGGAAAAAAAAAAGCTCAAAAGCTTAATTTGATTTCATAGTGCCAATAAAATTGACAACTACAATGGGGGGCGGGGAAGGGGAGGAAAAAATCTAAACGCATCTACAGAACAAGTCAAAAAATAAGAATAATGTTTTTCTTGAGTCACTGCTGTCAGAGCCCTTTCCCTCCCTGGGAGACACAGTCCACCTCACCTCCCTAGAATGCGTTCCAACACCGTGCTTGCTGATCTCTGGACCTGCTGTGGGGCAGCTCAGATTCTGCCCTGGTCCTACTCCTGTGTGTTCTTGCCTCCAGTGTTCACAGCTATCAGAACTAGTGCGTTTTCTTTTGTGGGAGCTCTCAATGACCTTTTATATATTCCACAGGCACACAGTCTGCCTAGTTGATCGCGTGGATTTCATCTGCAACTTGTACAGCTGGTGGGAAGGTTTTGGGTTTTCTTCCTTAGCCACCCTGCCCCTGGGTTTTGATTGTGGTTTTATTTCCACCTCTGCATGTGGGTCGTCCTCTGAGGTTTGCTCCTAAGCCTGCCCCGGAGGACTCGTGTTTGCCCCTTTGAGGGCTAGGTGTGGAGGTGGTGCAGCTGCTTGGGTTAGAGGGGTTCTGGCAGAAGCAGGGACTCAGGGGAGTTGGCGGCTAGGGCAGCAGGAAATATAGTGCTCTAGAAAGGTATGGCAACCAGTATTGGCCAATAGGCTCCAGTATTCTTGCCTGGAGAACCCCCCACCCCCACCCCAACAGAGAAGCCTGGCAGGCCACAGTCTACAGGGTTGCAAAGAGTCAGACACTACCAAAGTGAACCTGTGTGCATAGACACAACTTTTTTTGCCTGTGGAAGCTCTGCCCCAATGAGAGTTGAGCATGAAGGTGGCATCACTGCTTGTCTTGTGGGGACCCTGGCAGCACCAAGTGTGCAGGAACATGGACTGCTTCCATCACAGGAGTGATGGCCCCATCAGAGTCTTTTTTCGAGCTTCTTGTAGCTGGCAATCAGAAGGCCTCTTTTGCCAGTCTTTCTCTATAGCTCCACCCACTGAGGTACTTAGAAGGCTCTCTTGCCTGGGGTCCTACTCTGTAGTTCAGTGCACTAGGCTTTAGAATGGGCCAGCCTCTCTATTGTTCAGCTGCAGATGCTGGCTTGTGGGGAGAAAGAGGCTATGGTGATGGCTCCACCCACTATGCATGACTCAGCAGCATCGCCTTGCTTACATGGCTGCCTGGCTTTCCTCTATTGGCATTTCCCACCATAATCTCCTACCTCACATCCCCTCACTCTGTCTTTCTCAGTCAACAGCAGCCCTTGCCCTGGGATTGCTCCACAATCCCTAAACTCCAGCTCCTAACTGCTGCACATTCGAGGGGGCCAGCATTCCTGTCTGGTATGTATACATTCCTGGGGTATGTATGGCTGCAGCAAGGACTCTCTGATTCTCTTTCCATTTAGGCTGCCACAGATCAGCTGTTTCACTCTCAGCCTTAAATGTTTTCCTTCTGACTCAGACGATTGCCCCAATGTGGGGATTGAATGACCCCTGCTTCAGTTCCCCCACCCGCTGAGGGCAAGTCCAGTCCTATTAACACTCCTAATTCTCCCCTTAGTTCCTTCATCCTACGGAGTTTTGCGTGGTTCTATATACTCTTTTCCTCTGGTCAGGTACTCCTGTCCACTCTCAGCTGGCGTTCTGCATGCACTTCTGTGTCTGAAGGTGTATTCCTGATGTATCCATGGAGAGAGATGTACTGTCCACTTACTCCTCTGCTTTCTTGATCTCCTCTGCCCTTTATATTTTTAGGTGCTTATATTAACTTTAGGGAAGGTTTTCAGCCAAAATAGAAGCTCTTCTTTGTTCTTCCCGTGTTTGATATTTGGCAAACTAACTATGGCCTATGAGAGACTCATGACCAAGGCTCCTTTCACTGAACCATGTTTTCAATAGTAAGATAAGCTATTGCTTCTGTTGAGCTTAACAGAGCTAGCTTTGGGTTCTAATTCAACCTTCAATCACAGCTTATCCATGTCACTTTGAACAAATCAATCTCACTGTCTCTCAGTTTATCATCTGGTAATTGAAAACATTAATATTTACCCTACTAGCATACATTCCTATGTCCTAGGTGGCTCAGTAGTAAAGAGGAGTGCCAAGCAGGAGACATGGTTTCAATCCCTGGGTCAGGAACATCCCCTGGAGAAGGAAATGGCAACCCACTCCAATATTCTTGCTTAGGAAATTCCATGGACAGATGAACCTGGTGGTCTACATTCCATGGGGTTGTGAAAGAGTCAGACATGATTTAGCAACTAAACAGCAACTACTACAACACGCATCCTGTAAGAATTAAATGAGATGTTTGGAAAGACTCATGAGTATTTCCCTGGTGGTTCAGTGGTAAGGAGTCCTCCTGCCAATCCAGGAGCCATGGGTTTGATCTCTGGGTGGGGAAGATGCCCTGGAGGAAAAAATGGTAACCCACTGCAGTATTCTTGCCTGGAAAATCCCATGGACCAAGGAGGTTGGAGGACTACAGCCTATGGAGTCAAGAGCATCAGACATGACTTAGTGACTAAACAACAGCACTGGGAAGAGTCATAGAAGACATATAATGAAACGGGCAAGTGAAAGAGTATTGATCTTCTTGCAGGGCTTCAATCAGGTTAGCATACTGACATATTTTTCTCTCCCATCACCTTTACATTTGACCTCAGCACATGATCATGAGGGGTAAATAAATTTGTAGAAATATAGTTAAGTCACTTGTATAAGTCAGTTGGAATCACTGTCCATCCATTGGAGATCTACAGCCCTGTAGTCTTTAGAAGATCATAGCCTATAAGGCCAATAAGATATTGCACACTAGATGTTAAGTGGGCAAGAGATAGTATTTGGAATACATGAATGGGATGGAAATTGTCTTCAGAGTCCAAGAATAAGGGCAGAAGAAATTTGGTTGCTTGCTTATAGATTTTTAATAATATATTAAATGTTCAGAATAAAAATAACCTTATAATTATTCTTTCTTTTAGGTAATAAACATCATATATTTTCTCCTTTGATAGTGTTTTAAAGCAATAAAAATCAAAGGAGAAGATCTGTACCATNGTTTTAAAGCAATAAAAATCAAAGGAGAAGATCTGTACCATACTGAAAATATTACCAGATTAGTAAATTCAAATTTGAAATCTATAAAAGAAAAATATAGGAATTAAAAATTTTTAATATGGAATTTTAAAAATGTTGCTATATGTTATACTTATTACAGAGACTGATAAAATAATACAAGAAATTGTCTGTGAAAAGTTGCAAAATTAGCATTTAAAATATCATAAGTACAACCTCACTAGTAAGTAAAACATTTAAATTACTTTCAGTTATAAGGCTGTCCCATTTTAAAGAGACATTAGTATTTTTTCTTTTTTAAAAGGTTGTTCAGCTAAAAAGAGTTTTACTTTCTTTAGTAAATGAAGAATCATTTTCTGGAAATGCTCTTCCACAAAAGCTGACTCTTCATTGAAAACCATGGTGAAAAATGCCTCTCTAAAGTTCTAATTCATAATCCCTCTGTCTGCATAACATTTCTGTTTAACAGGCCAAAGTTTTTGTAAATAACTTATCTACAGTATGTGAGAAAGTCTGGACTTTGGGACTCCATCAGACATTCCTTCTAATGCTAATAATTGGAAGATGGCTTCTCCCCATTGGAAGTGGGATCACTCGGGATCAACTCTCTCAACTTCTCCTTATGTTTGTGGGGACAGCTGCTGACATACTGGAATTCACAAGTGAGACCCTGGAAGAAGAAAATGTGAGGTAAGTAGGCCCTGCAATGAAAAGACCTTTTCAAGGTCAGGTCCACACGCCTGCTTTTTTGTTCTATTATTTATATTTTGCATTAATAAAGCTTTTTCAGTATATCATATGTCCAGTAGTAGAATCATAGAATTTGTTGCTTTTCAGGTATATATTAGGCACCAGTACCCCACCGTGTGCACACACACACACACATGCACACATACGTGTACACACATATCTGGGTTTCCTATATGGCCCTAGTGGTAAAGAACCCGCCTGCCAATGCAGGAGACATAACGGATGCCCGTTCGATCCTTTGATGGGGAAGATCCCCTGGAGAAGGACACAGCAATCCACTCCAGTCTTCTTGCCTGGAGAATCCCATGGACGGAGGAGCATGGCAGGCTATAGTCCATCGGGTTGTAAAGAGTTGCACATTACTGAAGGGGTCCAGCCTGCACACATGCATATACATATATATATATATATATATGTATGTACCATATATGTGTGCTATGTATATATATAGAAGTTGTGTATGGATATGTAGAGAAAGTTGTGTGTGTATCACACAGTCATGTCTGACTGAATATGTAAAGGATGTTGCTGCTACAGAAAAAAGGCAGATAATATTTTCCATGGGTAAGAACAGAGAAGCTCTGCCTGTTTGCATGACCCCAGGTTAGGTGAAGCCATGGTTACCTGAAAACCGTCCCTGGCTCCTCTTTCACATTCTCAAGTGTCCAGGAATGCAGGCAATCTCAAGTGTCTCTTGCAGAGCAGAGCTACCATTCCAGGAAAGTGCAGAGAGGAGGCATGGAGGACTCTCTCCCCTAGCTGACTGAGGAGTTTATATTCCCTGGTGTGAATGGAGAATGGGGCAGATTAGGTTTTATTTTCCTAAATTTTATTTTAATCGGTTTTGTTCAAAGTGCCCATAGGCTATCTGGTGTAGATGCCTATAAATTAAAACTTATTGAGTTGGTACTTTTATTTTTGCCACAAGCAAATAAACCCAGAATCCATGATCACATCTGTTTATGGAACTACTTTCTTACCTTTAGGGATTTAAGTCTCAGTGCCTGAATGTACTTTCAGCTCAGGTTGTTATGCACTATGCTATAAAAATAAATTGCATTGAGGCTGGCTTTTAATGCTACCGTTTACTTTATGCTGTTTCTCAAATAACGAAACATAAAGCTGAGCAAAATACACTAACCTACTGAGTAAACTTAATATCCCAGTTATAGTACAAAGTGTATCATTATCATAGGTTACCCTTATATGATCATTTCCTGTTCCATTTATACTGTTTTCTCATATCTTAAGTAGATATAGAATTTTAAAAAGAATCTAGTCTAAGTTGATCCATTGTCCTCAAAATGCCGATTTTATTATTTAAAGAATATTTACTTAATTTGCTGTGCAGGGTGTTAGTTGCAGCATGCAAACTCTTAGTTGCAGCATATGGGATCTAGTTCCCTGACTGGTGATTGAACCAGGCCCCCTGCATTGTGAGCGAGGCGTCTTAGCCACTGGACCACCAGAGAAGTCCCTAAAATGTTGATTTTAGCTTTGCAGCTTTAATACCTTACATGTGGCCAGTGCTTTACATTGTGTAACATAGCTTCAGACACATTAGAATATTTATAGTACAGTGAGGTTACAAGAAAAACATTAGAAAAAAATCATGACCAAGCATATAAAAACAATAAATAACTACAGGCACCACACAACTGACTATACCTATGGGGCTTCCCAGGTGGCACAGTGGTAAAGAATCCACCTGACAATGCAGGAGATGCAAGAGACACAGGTTCGATCTCTGGGTTGGGAAGATACCCACAGGAGGAAGGGGCAACCCACTCCAGTATTCCTGCCTGGAAAATCCCATGGACAGAGGAACCTGGCGGGCTACAGTCCATGAGGTTGCAAAGGGTCAAACACGACTGAGCACACACACACACAGCTATACCTATATAGAAATAAACACATAAATGTCAAATATCTAGTGAGATGCAAGGGATATGAGGTAGAAGTGGGGGGGGGGGGGGGTTCAGGAGGAA